CTTATTTTATAAGCTTCTTACAATTTGTTTTATAAAATTTTATAAAAACATCTTATAAAATTATAAAGAAATTCTTATTTCTTATTTTAATTTCTTAAGACAGCATGACACTAAATTGTCCTGGCTATTCTTATTTCTTATTTTAATTTCTTAAGACAGCATGACACTAAAGTGTCCAGGCTATTCTTGAACTCATTCTGTAGTTCAGACAGGTCTTGAAATCACCATCCTTCTGTCTCAGGCTTCTGGTATGTGGTTTACAGGCCTGTCTTATCAAGAGGGGTGATTGTATTCATAATGAGCCTGAAGACTTGAGGTTAGTTTTCTGTTGTTACTGTAACAAAATAACAGAGGTAACTAGCTTTACAATGGAAACATTTATTTGGGGATCACAGTTTTGTAGGTGTTAGTTCCTGGTTGATTGGCCCTGTTTTGGGGTCTGTAGTGAGGTACATCACGGTGGCAGTGCATGGAAGAAGAAACTGCTCATCTCATGGTGACAAGGAAATAGAAGAGGAAGGGGTGGGCTTCTCCAATCACCTTCAAAGGCAAGCCTCTGTCATCTAACTTCCTCCTACTTGTCTCCACCCTTGAAAAGTCCCAAGATGTCCTAATAGTACCACAGGCTGGGGAAGGAGCCTTCTACCAGGGCCTCTGGGTGGACATTTCAAGTCCAAACTATAGCAAGCTTTCTCCATTGACTGCCTTTATTATTTCATTTAAAAAGGTGAACTGTGAGCTCAGCATGGTGGTGCACACTTGGAGGACTGAGATAGGAAGATGACTTTAAATTCAAAGCAGCCTATGATGTGTAGGAGACTCATTTCAAAGACACAAACCCAGGGTCTGAAGTGACGGCTCAGTGGTTAGGGGCACTTGAGCTGGCAGAGGACCTGAGTTCGGGTCCTAGCACCCACATAGTGGTTCACAACCATCCCTAACTCCAGGTCTGGAGGTTGCAAGAAAATCCTTTCCTTGCAATGACTAAACACTTTAGTGATTATCTCCAAGTCACCAATAACGAAAGAAACAAAAGAACTTCTCCTTGGAGACATATAACCAAGAGTGAGTTCAAATTCTCTGCTTCTTGACCCCTGTATCTTCCATCTTCCATCTTCTGTCTGTCTGTCGCATGAGTCTGAAACTGTGCCTACCTAAGGACTGGCTTGTGAATCTGTCCCTAACAAAGGGTTTCACTCCATCTCCCCCACCTCCAGACAAGGTTTTTCTATGTAGCCCTGGTTGTCCTTACTGCCTCTGCCTCTCAAGTGCCAGAATTAAAGGTGTGTGCCACCATGCCCTGCTAGCAGTCTTAGTCTTTTTTTTTTTAAGATTTATTAATTTAGGGGCTGGAGAGATGGCTCAGAGGTTAAGAGCACTGGCTGGTCTTCCAGAGGTCCTGAGTTCAATTCCCAGCAACCACATGGTGGCTCACAACCATCTGCAATTCAATCTGGTGCCCTCTTCTGGCATGTAGACAGAACACTGTATATGTAATAAATACATAAATCTTTAAAAAAAGATTTATTAATTTATTATGTAGTGTTCTGTCTTAGTCTTAAGTGACCTCAGGGTGTATTATTAACTCAGCTGTGAGGGCCAGCAAAATTCCAATCTCTTAGAATTTATAATACTGGATTACATATTTTCTATCCTTGGCAGGCACCAGGAATGCATGTGGTATACACACACACACACACACACACACACACACACACACACACACGCAAGAATTTCATACATATAAAAT